CGTGGCTGGCTCACCCACGGGGGAGAAAGGTAGTGCCCGTGGGGGCATTGCCCTGGCCAGGCCTAGAGGCCAGAAAGGAGGCTCCCCAGCCCTGGGATGAGTTGAAACTGCCTGTAGCAGGGTGTGGAGCAGACTGTGAGGACCCCCGTGCCATGGGAAGCTGTGTTAGTTTCCTGTGGCTACTGTAATAATAACCACAAACCAGCAGCTTACAATGCGCATTTGTGAAGCTGTAGCCCTCGAGGTAAAATCCAGAATCAGGATCACTGGGCCACCCTAAGGGGTGGGCAGAGCAGGTCCCCTCAGGAAGCTCTGGGAGAGTGTGCTTCAAAGCTCTTCCAGGGTCTAGAGGCGGCTGCACCCCTTGGCTCATGGCCCCTTCTGTCTTCTGGGCTGGCTGCGCCAAGCACCTCCAGAGCTCTTCTCTCCCATGGGCTTCTCCTGCTTTTGGCCTTCTGGCCTCCTTCCTGTGAGGACTTCGATAACGACATGAGCCGTCTTCAGCCATCCCAGATGATTGATTTTCCTGTCTCTAGGTGTTTGGTGTAATCACATCAGCAAACTCCCTTTGCCTGGAAAGTGACTCCCTCATGGGTTCCAAGGGTGGGGACCTCTGTGGGGGACATTATTTTCAGTACTGAGGAGGGCATCACAGGCTGGCAAAGGAGATGACATACTCATGCTGTGGTTTCCAGAGGCCCTTCTGGCTGCATCAGTGCCGTCTAGAGGACTGTTAAGACCTGTGCCCCAGGAACCAGGGTCTCCCCACCCCCAGCAGCCCAGGCCAGTCACCCTCACCCCTCACAGCCTGCCCCACCCTGTCCCCTGGGTCCATTCTCCCAGGGGGCTCTGCACAAGCTCCCCCATTCTCCTTTGTGTCCCATCTGTCTCAGACCTCCCCTTGGCCCCGCAGGGCTCCTGGCTGTGGGGCTCCAGGATTCTGGCTTCAATCCTCCCAGCCTTATGCACAGGGACAAAGTCACACATATGGACTCTCTCCAGCTCCCCACAGAGAGCCTAGCCACAGAAGTGGGATCCAAGGGGGGGGGACATGCACCACTGCGCAGGCCAGTATGGGGGTCCAAGGAGACTCCTGGCCTCCCAGATGCTTTTCAAGGCCAGATTCCCCGTCTTGTCAGCCCCACATCTGGAATTGCACTGAAAATTCCATTGGCTCTCTCCTGCGAGGAAATGTGTCAGATCTTCCCAGAGATGTCATGGAAGGAAGACGCGCTGGGGAGGGGGCTCAGAATCCTGGGAGCTCTGGGGAAATCCAGATGTCACCAGGAGTCCTCAGTCCTGAGCTGAGGTGCCCCCCCATTTCCTGCCCAGTGAAAATTAAAGACACCTGGAGTGAGCAGAGGCGTTCACATCTCTCTGGGACCCGCAAGTCTGTCCATGTGTGTGCGTGTAAAACATTGACTTTGTGATAGAGACTGAGTTCTTTTTTCCTGGAAAGAAAAATGTTGACATGCCTTTGGAGGATCGTCTGCCCAGAAAATCCCCTGATGCGTGAAGAAGACATGTTCTTCCTTTCTCTCTAGCATGCATACACATGTTTCCCAGAGGCCTGGGCTCCCTGGCCAGGGTTAGGGCCATCCTCTCCTCTCCTCCCCCCAGGGTGGGAGGGCATTCACAGAGCCAGGGTCCCAAGCTAGTTCAGCCACTTGCTCCTTCTGGACCTCTCGGCAAGTGTTTTTTTCGGTTCCTAGGACCACTGTGACGAAGCACTACAACGCAAGTGGCTGAGGCTGGGACACATTCACTTCCTTACAGTTCTGGAGGCCGGAGCCCCAGAGTCAGTGGCCCTGGGTGAGAGTCTAGGCATCTGTGGGGCTGGTTCCTCTGGGAGGCCATGGGAGAGAATCACATCCTGGCCTTTTTCAGCGTCTAGCAGCTGCCTGCTGTCCTGGGCTAGTAGGCCCTTTCTCCACCTTAGAGAGTATCACTCTATCTGCCTCTGTGTCTGATTCTAATCACTGTGTACCACTTTTAAAGACATGTGTGATTAGATTGGCCTGCCTGGATAAACCCTATCTCAAAATTCTGTAACTTTGTCACACCAGCAAAGTCTCTTTTGCCATAGGAAAGTGATACAGTGATAGCCTCCGCCGTCCTTTACAAATGGGCCTCGATTTTTCACCTGTAGGTTCCAAGGCTTGGCGTCCTCTTCTAGCTCTGAGAGAGGTTAAGACACAATCTCCTGCTCCCTGCCCCCATACTCTGCGCTCTGTGTGTGGGTGCCCCATGGTCCCTCACCCTGTGTCCAGCACAGGAGTCAGTGCCTCAGTGGGGGGCCCTCAGTCCCAAGCTGCCCCTGAGTGGATTTCCTCCTACCCAAGGAGTTTCAGACCCTGAGGCAGCCCAAGAAGAAGGAGACCCTGTTGGAGGAGGCTGGGACAAGGTGTCTGCACTGCACAGCAAGCCAAGGGAAGCTCGCTGCTCACTGTAGCCACTGGCTCAGTCCCAGGGCCCAAGGACCTCCCTGGGCGCTGCTCCTTGGAGTGCTTCAAGCCCAGAAGGCACCTGAGCTGTGAGGAGGGCTCCAGGCAGAGAAGGCTGCACCTTAGGCCCAGGAACACAGCCATGCCAAGTGTCTGTACACACCCGTGTGTAGAGGCAGCTGGGGTTAAGCTCATGTCGATCTTTTTCCCCGCATGCTCTTTTTTCCATTCTTTTCTCTCTGACTCAGATGCCACCTCATCCCTGAAGTCTTCCCTGATTTCCTGAGGAAGAACCATCCCTTCCGTGGTGCTCCTAGAACTGTACAAAGAGGCTCACTGTGTCCAGGCAAGGGGCTGCTTTTATCCTGCAGAGAAGAGACACCACCTTGGAGGGACTCTGAGCAGGAGAGAGGCTGCCTCTGAGGAGATGGCTTGGACTCCGCTGGGCCTGTCTTCCCAGAAGACCTCCCTCCCCTATGTTAGCCTTGTAGCCCCACAACAAAACACCAAGAGGACCCACTTCAGAAGAGGAAAGGTTTATTCTGGCTCGTGGTTTTGGGGGGTTGTGTACTGGTCACCTGGCCCTGTTTCCTTGGGCCCATGCAGCAGTGCACACGGCCAGGGTATGTGGCAGAGGAGTCCTGTCCACCTCACGATGGACAGGCCTCCATCCATCCTTTCTCTGTGTGCAGAGGAGGGTCCTGGGTCGGAGTAGCAACACTGGTGCAGTTGGGTGGTGAGGCTCGCCCGGCCCAGCCTCCTCTGCACACATCTATCCTTCAGAAGAAAGAGGAAGGGCCAGTGTCCCACCGGCCTCTCTGAGTCCCACCCCCAGTGACCTCACTTCCTTCTTCCTGCCCTGACAGCTAAAGCTTCTGCTGTCTTCCAGGAGCTCCGCAGGCTGGGGACCCCGTCTTCAGCACACAGGCTGTGGAGAGATGCCTCCTCCAAAGGACAGCAGCCCCAGAACCTGGAGGACCCAGGCCAGGAACAGAGACTGTGACCTTGAATGACCGAGGCTTCCAGGTGGTGGTACTGGTCGTGTGCCTTCTCCTACGGCCCAGGTTGGCACTGCTGCTGAGACCCTGCAGGGCCCAGACAGAGACAGGTGCCGCCTGGCCCCCGCTGGGAAGTACCACAGGGCCTACGCTGTTGTTCAGGACAGAGCCAGAACTACTAGTGAGCCTGCACCCTCTGCATCTTGCTTTGTGCTATCAGTGTGGCTGTCCGGGAACAGCATTCACCAGAGTCCCTGGGGACAGCTCCCCCCAAATAAGTCCCGGTGCAGGGCCTGGGCCACAAGTCCTGAAGTCCTGCTTATGGTGATAATGTGTGTTTTAATGGTTTCCTTTTCCCCTAGAGTTGAAGTTCAAAGGTCTGACTCTAAGGCTGGAGTGATGGTTTCTCCCCTTGTGCTCCCCTGCTGCCTGCTCACCTGGCATCGGTGCCCTTCCTCCCCATGCAGGGCCTTTGCACCTGCTGCTCCTGATCCTCCTCCTTCCTATCACCCAGCACAATTGGGGTTAGTGCATCTCTGGTTTCTGTCTTGCTCCCAAAACAGGCTGTAAGCTCTGGGACCTACAGTCCTTTCTGAATCCCTAGAACTTTAGCCTACTACCTAGCGCTACCGATGGTGCTTAGCACCCAACTGCTGATGTCCATGGGTGACCACATCACTCAGGACCTTCTGTGTGCGAGGAACTGTGCCAGGCGCCACAAGCCACGGGGCCCACTGGGTAGACAGATGCATCTGAGGAGGGCTCTTGGGTGGTGAGGGTCACCCGGCCCGGTCTCCTCTGCACACAGAGGGTACTGGGGGGGCGGGGCCCCAGGACCAGAAGTTCCCTGTCCACACCATCCTGCCTTGATGATGACCGTGTCCTGAGCATCTCTGTGCCCCTAAGTACACAGCTGGGCCCCCAAGTCACAGAGTGCCCACTAGGGACAAGGGTCACACTTTGGGCATGGACTAGTGTGACTTCCAGGATAGGACAGTTTCCCAGTATTCTTTTCATGGCATAAAAGTTACAAGAAAGATCTAGGGCCAAGTTCTGGGCCTGCCTCTTCTTAGCTTCTTGGCTGGCCTTTATGAGCTCCCCTTTGCTCATCAGAAGAATGAGGACACGAATTGGCCCTACTTCCCAGGTTGGTTTTGAAGAGTGAAAACAATGAAATCTGAAGCCAGGCTGGTGGCACACACCTGTAATCCCAGCACTCAGGAGGCTGAGGCAGGAGGGTCACTGTGAGTTTGAGGCTAGTCTGGGCAAACATAGTGAGTTCAAGCCCAGCCTGAACTGCATAGTGAGACCCTGTGTCAAAACAAAAGAAAAATATAGGAAATGAGATCCAAGAAGTCTGTAACTCCCTAGCTGGCACCTAGAGATCTCGTGACTGGTGACTGTCATTTCCCATTAGTCTGGCCCTTCACTGTCTTATGTGCCTGCTCAGTCTCTGGTTCCACCTTCTGACCTCTGGATAGCGCTCTGAGTAAACTAAGTCATGCTGGCCCCAGCCAGTACCTACACAGCAGTGCTCTGATGGAGTAGATCTTCGAGGGATTGAATAGTCTTTATTTTTCTTAATTTTTATTTTAAAGTAAACATCCTAGGTGACCCTGCTGTTTGAGCCACTGGATAAGTTGCTATGGGGTTTTACTTCAATGGAAGCCAACTTGTGCCCTCAGAAATGGAGGGGGTGGGGGTTGTGGCTCATGGGAGAGCGTTTATCCAGCATATTTGAGGCCCTGGGTTCCACAGGACTAAAAAGTAAAGCACAGTTCAGCTGAAAGGTACTTTCCCACGGCCCTTGGAACCACAAGTGACCCCCTCCTGGGGGGTGGCATTTCTCCATGGGTGGGGGGCAACACCAGCTGTGTCACCTCCTGCAGCTGTCTCGGCGCTGTGGCCCATGGGAGAGCACCATGAAATTCATTCTCCACATCTCCCAAAGCGGGCCAGGTGGCAACTGACTGGGGCTGCTGACCCCACCCGACAGGGCTCCCCAAGTCCTGCTGCCTTCTGTCCCAGCTCAGTCCATGCCCCTGATGGGGAGACGTTCTCTGCTGGTGCTCAGGGAATGCCCGGCTCTTGCATTTCTACGTGTTCACTGAGGTGGGTGGCATGGGGAAGTGGCCCTGATTATGGCCCCCCAAGGCTTGGATTTGAGGGGAGGCAGACAAGGCGGCCTTCTCAGATGTTAGAGACTGAAGGAGGGACTTCCTGTGCCTCAGGGTGACTGCAGGCAGGTGCAGAGGGCTGAGGAAGAGGGAGGCCCAGGGCAGGGAGGCTGTCCTTCACCAAGGACACAGGACTATTGACGCAGCAGAGCCAGGCGCAGCCTCTGGACCTGGTCCACAGCCGGAGGAAATGGCACTCCCTGAAAAACAAAGTTGAAACGGTTAGCTGAAGGGAAGAGAAAGAGGAAGGGGGCAGAAAAACACCTCAAACTGTCTGCTCATCAAAATCACCGGGGCAGCTTGTTCAAAATACAGATTCTCACAGTGGCTCTGTGTCAAAAACACTGTGCTTGCTAGCTCTGGGTTTCTCTTCCTTTTTTTTTTTTTTTTTTGAGAATGGTCTAAAGGGTGTTCCGGGTCTCACTACTAGATCAGACTTGTAGTGATCCACCTGTTCACAGCCTCCCAAGAGCGGGGTTTACAGGCATGCACCACCATGCCCAGTCTCAATTGCCATCTCAGCACACCCCGGGGGTAGGACCAGCATGGCCAGCCCGGGGATCAAACCCCCTGCCCCTGTGCCTGTTTGCAGTTGCTTTAATCTGCTGAGCTATTTGGCCAGCCCTGGATTTCTCTTCCTTGTGGTTAAAAAATGTAGGTCCCAAGTAGCAAGGCTTGGAGGCTCCCTAGGAGGTTGGTGCAGGGCAGGAAGGAGTCCTCTTGGGACCAGTGAAAGAATTCTAGGTCTGATTTGCTTTTTGAGTAACTTGGGGGGGGGGAGTCCTAAAGGCAGCATCTCCTTAGTCGAGCTGGCTCCCTGTACCTGGAACTGCTCCCCACCCTCCAGCATCCTGGTGGAGGCTCCCCTGAAGCTCCCCTTCCCATCAGCCCTTGCAGCCTACAGAAGGTGCCAAATGCTGGGTCCTGAACTCTGGACCACACCCCGTTATTGCAGACAGGCCTTAGCTGCTGTAACTGAAGGAAAGACCTTCATAGGGAGGGTATCTGCAATCATTCAGGCCTAATCCCAAGTGTCCCCATTAGAGAGAAGGAAGAACAGTTGGAATTAGAAGCAGAGACAGTGACATACTCTTTGAAGACAGAGGAAGGGGCCACAAGCCAAGGACAGCAGGCAGCTACTACACACTGAAAAGGGCAAGGACCTGATTTTTCCACAGGGTTGCCTGGAGCAACCAATGCTGCAAATTCCTGGACTCTCGCCCAGTGGCACTGATCCCCACCCCTTGGCCTCTAGGACCATCCTCATCCACTTGCATGGCAGTGCTTCCTCACAACAGGTCAGAGTCCCAGACACCACTGAGCTGGGGTCAGTAGGGAGGTCCCTGCCCTACCAGCTCTTTCCCACGGCTCTGGGGACCAGAGCCAAACACCTCTCCCACCACCCCACCCTGTCTCTGGACCTCTTGTCAGATCTGGTGTCTTCCCTCAAACTCTTTCTTAAATCTTGGGACAGTCCCTTCACTAGCATCTCTGTTGTCCTCTCATGCCGCTCCTTGGCCTGCTTCCTTTGCCCTCTGACCTACCCCCCACCTGGCAGTGCAGCCCAGGGCTCCCCGCACACCTGCCCTTCTCTGCTTGTTCTGCCTTCCACTGAAAAGACCTGGTGCTCCACATTCTCAGATGCAACCAGGCCCCTCCTGGGACCGCCTGCAGGAGGCTGGTCCCCCCTGCTGTTTGCTTCACAGCTCCTTTTTTTTTTTTTGGCAGAACCGGAGATTGAACTCACCCTGTCACTCACCACCTTGTGGTTGCCAGGGAAACGCTTGTTCTACTGAGCCATCTCCCCAGCCCGTGCTTCATAGCTCTTAATACCATTGGACATGTTTCTAGGTCTGTCTTTTCCCCACCATGAGTGCTAAGTTTCTTAGGGGCAAGACCTTCACGCTGGGTCATGGGCACATGCCAGGGAGCCTGTCAGACGCGCTCCTCTGGGATCTGACAAAGTTCATGATGAGTGGCTCTCTGAGTCCCGGGCCTGGGCTTCTGTTGCCCTTGATAGGCCTCTTTTCCCCTCTGGGCTTCTGACACCCTGTCTGAAGGCGCAGGGGGGTAGGGGTGGGGTCCAGGTCCGGTCGGCACCCAGGGAAAGAAAGCATGAGGATGGGCTAACAGCTGCTTCAGAGCCCAGCCTGGGTGGCAACCGCCCCACCCTGCGCGCTGTGGGTCTCAGACTGAAACAAAGGTGGCAAAGCCCATGTGGAGGCTCCTGCTGGCATTGCTCTGAGCGTAGCTATCTAAGGGCCACACACTGAGCCCAGACAATGGGACGAGACTTGTGGCCGAGTACTTGATAAGTCCCCTGCTGGCACTTTAGCTCAAAGAAATAACCAGAGATGTATGCAAAGACATGTGTGTTAAGATGCTTATGAAATAACTATTTATAATAGCCAACAATTTGGAGGGAGCCCATGGGTCGGACCACAGGAGATTGATTTAATTATTAAAATGCCATTCAGTGGGAAGCTATGCAACCACTTAAAATTGTATTTTCAAGGAATATCTGAATGACCCAGGGGGCTGGGGAAATAGCTCAGTAGAATAAGTGCTTGTCTGGCACGCACAAGGGCCGGAGTTCAATTCCTGGTTCCGCCAAAAGAAACCAACCAGACAAACAAACAAAAAATATCAGATGTTGAATGACCCAGGAAAATTCTTATGATGTCATTAGCATGGGAAAAATTAAGATTTATATATAATATGTGTGTGTTATGTATGTACACACATATATTCACAATAGGATCTCAATTTTATTTAAGTATGTGTATATGTTAATAATGGTTGTCTCCATTTAGTATGAACATCATGGGTATTTATAGCTTATTCCTTACACTTTTAAAGATTTAAAAAAATTGTTTTACACTGGCCTTATATTCATATTACGGTTTTTAAATGCTGTTAGCTTTTTTTGGGGGGGCGGTATTGGGAATCAAACTCAGGACCTCATGCTTGCCAGGCAGGCCCTGTGCCACTGAGCTAAACCCCGGGCCACTAGCGTTTTTCTAATGAGGAAAGAATTTTTATTTTCAGCTATGTGTTGGACATGCTGAGAATCCCAGTGCTCTAGGAACCTGAATCAACAGGTTTGCAAGTTCAAGCCCAGCACAGTAACTTAGGGACTTAGACTCTTTCTCAAAACAAAAAATAGAAAGCGTGAAGACAGCTCCATGTGAAGGTCCTGGGTTCAATTTCCAGTACTGAGGTGGAAACACTGCCTACCATGTCTTCTTCGGGCAGAATGTAGATGGAGCAGTGAAGAGAAGCTTGGGCTGTCAGCCTATGCACCTCTCCACGAGTCTGGGGTCTTCCTGGTCCAGACAGCCCTCTGTAGGAGGTGGAAGTTGGGCTTGGGCTGCGTGAAACAGTCTTTGCTGAGAGTGAGTTCCACGTATTGTGTGGGTCCCACGTGAAAGGGGTGCTCACTCTCAAGATCTGGTACCTGAAGAAGAAACAGAACTTCTGGGGCAGAAGATCAACCTGGGAGAAGATGCTACAGGTAGAGGCGGAACAGAGAACTGGGGGAGGAGAGGCCCACATAGAACCGGCCAGCACGTGGCAGCCAGCAGAGGTTGAGCGGCTGAGGTCGGGCCAGACCCCACCTGGGCAAACCTGCTTGCCTGATGGTTCTGCTGGGCACCGCTGTCTCTTCCCTTGGGCATGCTGACGGCATCATACAGTCTCCCAGCTTGCTTAGCCACTCTCTGTGAAAGTAGGCCAACACTGGTGCCGCCATCCTTGGCCCACGCAGTAGAAAGGACAGTGGTACCCCAGAGACAGCCAGAGTGAGACAATGGGAGGGAAGAAAAGTGAGCGAAAGAGAAGGCAAGCAGAGGACGCACCAGGGCTATTTGGCCCAGCAGTTCCCCACTCTGGAAACACTCCTTCCGGAGCTAAAGCTCTCAGATTCTGGTTTGTGAAATGACAATAATTTGATTTGGTGTCCTTTGTGCATAAATTGGCATACGATTATTAGAGCAAATTCAGAGAAGCAAAACCATACTAAAAACAAAGAAAAAGAAGGAATCTAAAATTATCCCTAGGGGCCGGGGAGATGACTCAGTAGGATAAGTGCTTGACTGGCAAACGCAAGGATCTGAGTTCAATCCCCGGTTCCGCCAAAAAATAAATAAATAAATAAATAAATAAATAAAATAAAATTATCCCTTATCTCACAACTGGCTAATTTTTTTGTATAGCCTTACGACATTTTAAGGCATGAACATATTAAAAATCAGATTATTTTATATAATCATCAGCTGTTTCTTACTATGCTATAAACTTATTCCTAGGCCCTTAAATGTTCTTCTATACCTTTTCTTTCGTCTTTCTGAAACAGGGTCTGTGTATGGCCCAGGCTGGCCTTTAACTCATTCGGTAGCCCAGGACGGCCTTAAATCCTGCTGCAGTTTCCCAAGCATTGAGACCACAGGTGCGCACTGTCACGCCCAGCTACAGCAATGCCTTTTAAGGGCTACCTTGCATTTTATTCTGCAGCTGTCTCATGATTAATTTAAACACTCCCCTCCCTTTGGACATTTAGGTTGCTCCCAGCCGATCAGTAACACAATGAAGAACAACCTACTAGCTAAACCTTTACAGATCCTGTGGATTCACTTAGAATAATGGCCGGAAATTGACTCCTTGAATCAAAAGACACAAGACTTTTTTTTTCCATCCCTGAGCAGACCCCAAGGCTGGGTTATTCTGAGGTTTTGGCCCCAACCCCTACTTCCCCAAGCTCTAGCACCTCTCTGACCCTGAAGTCTGCCAGTACTCCACACCCCAAGCCACTGGGCCTTCTCTCCCCACTCTGCCCTCGGGCTTCAAACTCACCCAAGAGAATGACTTACACCTCCGGTGCACAACAGGAGGCCATTTGTCTTGGGCACCGGAATCCCCATTAGATAAAATCTGAGCAGATGGCATTATTTATTTATTTTATGTCTTTCTGGTCAGACAAGTCCCCAGCCTTCTGATCACCTTCTTCAGGTCGGGGTTAAGAGTTTATGGAGAGGAGGAACAGGTCCTGGGATGCAGGTCAGTCTACGGGCTCACAGAACCCCACTTCCCACCTCCACCCCCTACTTCAGGCCCACCCAGCTCTAGCCTCCCAAATCCTTCCCCCATCCAGGTGAGAAAGTTTAGGGTGTTGGCAACTGAAAGGGCTCTAGTCCCTGACAGG